TTACTAGTTTATGGGATCTTACATATTCTAGAGATCCAGTCTTTTGTCTTTAGTGGAAACAACAAAAACTAATAATTAGATTGGTTAGGGTCGACTAGAAAGGATTTAATTACTGAAATAATAATAATATACGTCTAATCAGATCCCTATGGTTAGTTCTATAAAGTATTGGAACTTAATTACGATAATTATAATAGTTTTGAGCATAATTATAATTACAATAAAGTTTTATACTTGATTGTAATTATTATAAAAGTTGTAAACTTAATTATAATTGTAATTGAAGTTATAGAACTACGCACATAATTAAATGTAAACTAATTGGATTTGAATTTTGACTAAAGCTCCTATTTGAATTTTAATTAAGACTCTGATTTAAATGTGAAATTATTATCTTATAAGAATTGAAATTATTCTATCTCTATAAATAAATATTAGATAGAACCAAGACATCCTATAGAAAATAACAATCATATACTGATATACACAATTTCATAGTGTTCAGATTTGGAGAAGAAAAAGCAGGCGAAAAAATTATTTATCTTGTTTTATTCAATTGTCCAATTGAAGAATTAATTTCTTGGTTTAATTAAAAGAAGGTGCACACCCATCAATGTAATCTTAATTTTGGAGAATACCATGAAAGACTTGGAGGTTTGAAAATCAAGTTCTTGGAATTAAAAAGCTGAAAGGTCGTGATCCAAAAAATTGAAAGTTTGTGATTCTGAATTAATTCAGAAATTTACCATCAAATTAAATAAATATTCAAATCCTTTATTCTTAATATAACATACACGAAAAGATGATCTTGTTTATTGAATTAAAGAAAATTTTAATTTCTAGGTAATTCTATTTCCCCATTCTAACAATTAAGTTATTGCTCATCGCATGGTTTCAGTATACAAAGGATAATATGAACCCTCGCCCTCTTTTTTCTTCTACGACACCAACTTTTGATCTCTTTGTGAGTTCTTCGCTTTCTTCTCTTTCTTTATGGATGAGTCCCATAGTTTCTAAGCGGTTCCCAAGTTCGGGTATTCTCATGCTGCAAATAAGATTGGTGTTGAGAAAATCTTTGTTTTCAGATTATTGGCAATTTTCTTTGTTGTTGTAATCTATGTTTGGACTTTCTGAGGTTCAAATTGTAATATAGGCAATAGAGTATACAACATAACACGGAATCTAATTATCTAACTACAAAACTTTTAATAATGTTTCGACTTTCATTTTAATTAGCAATCTATTACAAATTTAGAATTTTCACTATTCACCAAAAGAAAAAAAATACAAGAAAGGAAACAAATGACAGGTAATTTATGATTTGCTAGGCAGAATGCTCAAATTCATAGTCATCATACTAGACTCAAATCGTTGACATGGACAAACCATCCAATCACCGGTTAGTGGTTCAACTAGTGAATTGATGGATCATTGAGGCAGGCCAACAATGGCACGACAGAAATTAACCTTGCCAAGAAGATATCGAATGCATTATGCAATGACAACATTCTAAAAGAAACGTGTCATAGAATAATTGGAATACTAGTAATGTGTCACACACAAGCTCAGAATGAGGATGTTTGGACTTTTAAACTAACTCTGCGAACTGATTCGACAAGCAATCAAGTTAACCAACATAGAATACATGTCCTGTATCCATATAGAACCTCAAGTTCATTCACTCTATGTACAAGACAATTTTAGCTATTATTCTTTAAGAGTAAAATTGACTCAACAATCATTATTGAATCGACCTTCCCAAGACTATAGGGGGCCTATTTTTGGCCCAAAAATTTTTTTTTTTTTTTTTTTTTTAGAAGAAGGCCAACTGGCCCAAAGGGCCAAAACCAATTATCCAACAAGCTCAAAATCCATTTACCTTTCAAATCTATTTACCCAACCCAATTTACATATCCAATATTCACAATCCAATCCAATCCAATCCAATTAACCAAAAATTCCCAAAATCTGATTTTGAAATACAATAAAAAATTTCCAAAATCTAAAATATAGCAGCCTGCTGGACGTGCTCTTCAGTCATCGCCTACTCGCCTCAGTGTCGTCTCCTTCAGGTCAGTGGTTCCCAAAAGCTTTGAGAAGTTGTTCGAAGTCTCAAGTCTGCAACTCTTCTGCTCTTGACTGGCTGGAGCGCCCCCAATATTTTACAGAAATGGACCAGTGAAGGAAACAAAATCACCATCTCTGACCTCCGAAGGATCTCCAGAGACCTAAGAAAATCCCACCGTTACAAACACGCTCTTGAGGTTTTAATCTATTGTTATGTTATTCAATTTTCGAGATATTAACTAGATTAAAAGATTTATATTTTTTCCTTTGTTAAATTTAGAAAATTTCTTGATTATTTATTGGACTTGAAAATGGGTAAAAATTGATTTGAATATTGTGTGGTTATGCATAATGAATAGTTGATGAAGTCAAAGATCTTGGAGATGGATATCCACTTATTGAATTTGTATTGACAAGTTTTGTATATGATTTGCATTTTGCTAGTTGTATTGGCATTATGCCATAGTTGAAAATCTAATATTGTGGGGAGTAGGTATAAGGTAATAGTTAATAGTGGTATAACTGGGACAAGAACACTTAAGTAGTTCATTATCCAATAGCTAACCGATTTTCAGTATACGTTATAGCTTTATATTAAGAATTCTAAGCAAAGAAAAAGTTATTGTGATGAGTTCCCTTCAGTGAAGTTCAAAATTGGTTTTATTTGGTTTTAGTGTAGTGATAGCTGTGGATCAAATGGAGTGGCAAAAAGGGTTTCATATATTTCCCAAGTTTATTTAGGAATTCGGTTTAATTCATTGTGTAAGATGTTTTTGGTATTTTTTTTTTTTTTGTTCACTTTGAGCCGGTGGTGTGCAATGGTCAATTTCATAGCTGCATTTAACACCGAGGACTTACATGCCCGTCTTTATGGACATTTTCACAAACTGTTCAGGTTTGTCGCCTTATGTATTTTCCTGCTCATACCTTCATCATAGTTGATTTGACTCATATTTAGTTGCTTTACCAAAAACTTTAACTTCCCATGGTTAGTACCTTGGAAGAAGATTGCTCTTTAGGGATCGCATCGGCTACTAGTTAAGAAATTCACTATTTCTTTGATATGCTCTTGTTTGTTGTAAGTCATACTAATAGTTCCATAGATAAATTAGTAAGCCCTTGTTTGTCTTCATTTTGTTCTTCACTCCCTCACTTTAATCTACATCAACTATAGTACTTACAAATTTCTTCTATGTGAGGTATATGTTCTATTAATCTCTAAATTGGCAATGTAGTTCCAATAATTTGTTAATTGCCAATTTAAATTCTGAAGACGATAGTTTTATAAGATAATATGTATAATTTTGGTCAAGGGTTGTGGACATTTTATATTCAAAGAACCAGATCATATTTAAACTGAACAAGCTGGTCCATTTTTGTACTTGCTGCACTCCATTTATGAAGCCATAACCAAGTCCAAACATGAATGAATCAACTAAAAATTTCTTACATGTTTCTTTTTGCTATGTTATAGCATCGTTGACACAATCCAGAAATTTTTTCAAATTGCAATCAACTTACCACCATTTCAGAAAAAGGGATCATTCTCAAAGGTGTAATTCCAAAATTTTCATCAAAATTCCACTTCTTAGGTAAGCAATGGCTTACCCTAAGTAGCTATGTTAAAGATTGGAAATGTTTGAAGCCTTACCGACTTATATAATTGCAGCCTGGTCGGCTTATATGATTGCTTATTGTACGATGAACAATTGCACAAGCGCACATAGTAACTATATTGGAAACTATAATTGTGAGATGATTGAGATATTTTGTAATTATTTTTTAGATTAATCATTGGATATTAGATATACACTCGTACACTATGCCTCCTAAATATGAGTTTGGTGCTCAAAAGAGGAAAATGAAACGAAATGAAATTGCATTAATTTAAAGTCAAGCAGGGGATATTAACAAATACTTCAAAAAAAACAATGTGAATGCGTTGAACTAGGTAATGATAGATTCAAAAATTGGCATAGTTTGCATTGGTCTATTAAAAGTCATGAAGGAAATGAGGAGCATTTACGTTGCATAACTAACTGGATTGAATTAGAAAATAGGCTTCGAACAAAAACTATCATTGATAAAAGCGTTGAATTGTTGATTGATGCTGAAAGAGAACATTGGAGACATGTATTAACAAGGATAATCGCTATTGTGAAAAGACTTGCGAAAAACACCTTGCCACTTCGAGGAGATGATGAGAGGCTACATGTTGAGAACAATGGCCTATTTTTACAAATGTTGGAAATGGTTAGTGAAGTTGATCCAGTAATGCAAGAGCACCTTCGGCGGGTTAAAGCAAGAGAGATTCAATATATGTATCTTGGTAAAACAATTCAAAATGAGTTGATACAATTGTTGGCTAATGAGGTGAGAAGTTCAATTGTCAAGAAAGTTAAATATACAAAATATTTCGCAGCTATACTTGATTGTACTCCAGATGCAAGTCACGAGGAGCAAATGTCTTTAATTGTACGATTTGTAGATGATTCGGTAAACTTACCTACAGTTGAAGAACATTGGCTAGAATTTTTGAAGGTAGATGACACAACAGGACTTGGACTTGCAACCGAGCTTCAAAAGGCTTTGATAAAACTTGATCTCGATATTGATGACATTAGAGGGTAAGGGTATGACAACGAATCTAACTTGAGCGGGAAGCACAAAGGTGTGCAAAAAAGAGTCCATGAAATGAATCCCCGAGCTTTCTATACTCCATGTGGCGCTCATAGTCTAAATCTAGCATTATGTGATATGGTGAACTGTTGTTCCAAAGCTGTATCCTTTTTCGGAGTGATACAACGCATCTACAATTATTTTCATCTTCTACTACGCGATGAAAAATTTTCAAAGATAATGTACAAGGGTTGACAGTGAAGCCATCATCACAAACACGTTGAGAAAGTCATGTTGAGAGTGTGAAGCCAATAATGGAGCAAACTGCACAGATAAGAGATGCATTACTTGATTTGGCAGAAAGTAATGAAGATCCTAAAGTAAAGAGTGAAGCCGAGTCATTAACAACACATGAACTTCAAAATTTTGAGTTTTTGCTTGGCATGATAATCTAGTACAGGTTGTTGCATGCTGTCAATATTGTGAGTAAATTTCTTCAAATCGAATCCATGGATATTGATCATGCTATCGACCTCTTGCAAAGACTGTTTCATTTCTTGAAGAATATGGAGAAATTGAATTTGCTATTGCCAAGGATGAAGCGACAAAAAAGGCAAGTGAAATGGGAATTGAAGTTGTAGTTACAGAAAAACGCATACTTCAAAAAAAAAAAAAAACAATTTGATGAAAGCGGTAGTGATGAGGTAAAACAATCAGCAGAAGAATCTTTTAGAGTTGAGTACTTTATTTTTATAATTGATCAAGCTCTATCTTCTCTGAGGATCGAATTTGAACAATTCAAACAATATGATGACACATTTGGATTTTTGTTTAATTTGAAGAGGTTAAAGGGTGCAACTTTTTCAAGTTTGTTGAACTCTTGTATGAATCTTGAGAAATATCTTCAACATGATGGGCGTTCGGACATCAATGGAGATGATTTATATTCGGAATTACAAATCTTGAGGTGTTATATACCAAATGAAACAACAAGAGCAATTGAAGTACTACAATATTTGAAGACATTGAATGTTTGTTTTTCAAGTACTTATATTGCTTACAAAATTTTGTTAATCATATCGGTTATAGTTGTATCTGCGGAAAGAAGTTTTTCAAAATTGAAGTTGATCAAAACTTATCTCCAATCAACTATGTCACAAGAAAGATTAAACAGGTTGGCTATATTATCAATAGAAAAAGAAATGGTTGAACAGCTAAATTATTCAGATTTGATTGATATTTTTGCCTCTAAAATAGCAAGACAAATAGTATTTAACTAATTATTTCAAACGTTGTTAGTTTTGAAAGTTTATAATATAAATATTTTGTAGAATATATTTGGTTGTTGTTTTAATATTAGTTTTTCAAGTTAGTAACGGTTCGCATAATACATTATTGAAGTTTGCATTTATGTTGATTTCGCCGGGAGGCCTAATTTCCAAACTTCGCCTCAGCCCCGAGAATCACAGGACCGGCTCTGCTAAATAGACTAAGCAACATCTATTTTGCGCATCTTTCGATAGCCAAAAGGACTTTCACATAACCAAAGGGGCTCGACTGGTCAGATGGGTGCACACAATTATGACTAATTTTTATAAGCTTACACTATTAATTGCTCACGTTCGTAAAGAAAACGTTCTACTCATAATAGGCCACGATCTAGACAAAATAAGGACATAAATCGCATAGGCACAACATTATCTGCCCAAGAATTTGAATAATATTAAAGGCATGCTTGGAACGAATTATAAGTGATGATAAGCTGTGAATCCTAACTTGCACAATAAATTGCTTCGGTTTAGAGACGCATCAAAGAAAGTTGGAGAAAATGTTAATTATCTTACACTAAACAAACAGCTTTGCCAAATCATTTAGCCTATATTTGGCCCATTTTATAAACACTCGAGTCATTTTTTGTCTACACATTTCGAGGGATTAACAGAATTACACGCATATCCACCACTCATTTCTTTTTATTTATAATTTAAACCGTTTATACACACTTTCCAAATATATCGGTGCAAATGCATAAGATAAAAATGATTGAATGAGGTCCCATTACATCAGAACCATAAAGAAAACTTAGCTTAATAAACTGATCCGTACCTTATAATGTGACTAAAAAATATGATAACTTCAAACCGCCCAACAAAGGCTGTGTCGTCATAGGCAAAATGCTTAATCAAACCTGTTCGATTTTTCAATGCAGAACAAAATAACCAATCACTCTCACATGATGCCATCAAATAACTGCTATGATTCTCTCTTGAATCTATCAAGGCGGCCATTGTTTGAACTCAAGGACAAGCAGACGATTAGGTCAATCTTTTAACTTTCTTAAATATATATGAAATTCTCCCAAGAGAAGAGACAGGTTTTTAGCATCAACCTCACTACTTCAATACCTTCCAATAAAGCAAACTCTATGTAACATACACAACATAATAGACAAATAAATATTAAATGTAATGCACACTTTCCTGATCGATCAGTGAGCATCATACATCTTTCTCATATGAGTTATATTACTTTTCCTCTTGATTCTTCATCATTTACTGCCAATTGGCTTTGTAGCAGTTCTCTAACAGGCAACTCGTATATTACAAATATTTGGATAGCATCTAAGGATGTCAAACGGGCTGCCCGTGGCTTGGCCCGGAAAAAGCTCGGGCCAGCTGTGTGGCTCACCGGCTCGAGCTTGGGTCTTTAAAAAAAGCGCAAAACAGAACTAAGGCAGCTGGCAGCTACTTTAATTTATGGCAGCCGCTCGTCTCGTTGACACCACTATGTCTACAAGTGCTTTTGTATATTACCCATCTCTTCTTGATTCTTCATTGTGCATACATACCAATCAGAGAAAATTTTGAAATAACATCTAAACCCTAAACCAAAACAACAAGAAGTTAGATCTTCGACCCCTCAACAATGCAATCGGCATTCTTTTCTTCCTTTTTTGTCAGAAGTACCCAGTTAACATAGAAATTGGCATAACTTCCACACATCTTCAACCATAGTTAGGGCCCATTCGACATAGCTTTTACTCCTTGTAGAAGAGCTTTTAGAGGAAGCTACCTTAATTTTTGTTTAAAAAACTAATATTTAAAAGTATTTTCTAAGTGCTTTTAGAGGAAGCCACATTAAACTGACTTCCTCTAATAATTCTTTTAATCACCAAAAGCACTTTAACAAAATTAGTCAAATGGGTCCAAAAGCAATTTTTGAATCTTAAAAGCTCCTTTTGACTTTTCAAAAATCATGCCAAACTGACCCTTAGACTTGTTCTAATACATGATAGATTAGGATCCAATTTTGAGCTTTTTCTTTGCTAATAAAAATAAGGTTAAGGCAAAAAAGTTGCATTTACAAAGGCAAATTGCAAGTGACCGGCAATATCATCCATACAATTCTAGCAATCATTAATTAACAAAAAATGTTCTGATAAGAACCTAATTTGAAGAGGCTGAATTGCTTACTGAAAGAATGAAAACTGGGTATCAAACTGCTATTTTATTACATTAAACGTGAAAATAGACGAACAATTCCAAGGATTTTGAGAGGCTAGGTCTCTCCCCAAATTTTCCCAATATTTCCTGAATGCCTATCCCGGCTCCCCCCATTACATTTATAGAGAATTTATTAGTTTTCTATTACAATTTTACCCTTTGCTAACTAACTGTGGAATACTCTAAAATAGTGAATGAATAACAAACTTGTATTGGAATATTAACCACCTTGTCCTCAAGGTTGAAGTCTGGGAAAATTACCAATTGCAGCTTACAATATAGCCGAACAATTTCCTACGCAATATTCTTAGGTACAGTCAAAGTGCTTGAGAAGCATTTTGTTTTTCAGTTTTACTTGATATGAGGCATCCTTGTTGAATTCACTTCCTTTCTCCAACTCAAGAGCCCTTTCCGTATGAGAAGGAACATGTGTAGTCCGAATATATTTCTCAATCGGGCGATAGTCTTCACTATCATGCGAGAGAGGTGAAACATGGCAAATTTGCTTCTTGTACTTCTCATCGATTGATTCATCATTATTCATGTCAAAACCAACTACTCTTGAAGCTATTTCAATGTCCTGGGGTGCTTCCAGCATTTGCACCTTCAAAAAGTCTTCCTCATCTTTAATCACATGCAGACAGATAGAAGGTATAATTGTGAAAAATCTGTTGTTAGCATCAACAAGACTCTCTTTGAGAGAAGGAGCATGAGTTGTGCTATTTAGCCAATTATGTATTGGTGTTAAAGCCTCAAAACTTAATCGACCACCTACAATTAGAATGGTATAAATGAAAATCCCATAACCAGTTCCGTCCGTGCACAAAATTTGGAAGTTGTGAGTTTATCTATTCGAATTTAATTTGTGTTTAACCCCATACTTCGATTATCACCACAAACTCATGCTACGTTACTCTCCCTTCTACTTCCATGGTCATCGTTGCAATCAAGCTTGCTACCGTATTTGGAAAAGGATCCACAAATTCTTTCATCCCATCGCTTCCTCCAATTCGAAAACTGGTTTAAGTTAAATTTCCTCTCTACTCGAGAAAACCAACCGTTGGGACTGACACCATCGGAAATAGGTATATCCAACTGTTTGCCTCTTTCCTCCACCTTCCATGATTCATTACGGCAATTACCATCTCTGGTGTCATCAGATTTGTTTGGGATTTCAGAATTGGAAATGTGTTCATTGCTACCTTCCACCGGTTGGGTCAATTCCAAATCCAAGCCCACAGATTCTTTTATCTGAAATTCAACCATCAATTCAACCCCACTCTTTTCCCCTTTCTTTTCCGTGGAATTCTCCTCCAGCAATTATCCTTGTTCATACACTTCCGTCGAAGAAGCTAGGGCTTCCAACATCTCTCCAGTCCTCACGTCCCATTGTTTAATCGCTAGAGTTTCATGAACCATGGAGATCTCCTTCGTGCGATGGAATTTCTCCTCCACCGATTATGGCGATGGAGACGTGTAATTTACGACGTTGTTCTTCTCGTGCCGTCTCCCAGTTCAAGTCATCCCCCTGCTTCCTGTCTAAAAACTTACCATCGAAGGTCTGCTTCACGTGGAATTGATCCAACATCAACGCCTTCAATTCTTTCCAGGTTTGTATCTGTCCTCGATCGTCTTTCTCTTGAAACCATGCCCAAGCTTCTCCAAGGAAGCAAGTGATTGCGGCTTCTACCTTTTCCCTCTTCGGTAAGCCGCGATTCATATTTAGGCATCTCTCCGCCTCAAATAGCCACGACTCTAAATTATCCCCATAGAATATCCATATGTTGAGTCGGCCGCATGAATCCAACCTTAAATCAATGGCTCGATCTCCTTTCTGTTGCATTACCATCTTCTCCAACGTACTTTTTATCAAGCTCAAACTCTCCTTTGATTCTCTGCTGACAATCGTTTCCATTATTCCAAGAATCGACCGCTCTGATACCAAATTGATAAGAACCTGATTTGAAGAGGCTGAATTGCTTACTGAAATGGAAACTGTATATCAAACTGCTATTTTATTGCATTAAACGTGAAAATGGACACAGAACAATTCCAAGGATTTCAAGAGGATTACCATCTTCTCCAACGTACTTTTTGTCAAGCTCAAACTCTCCTTTAATTCTCTGCTGCCATTATTCCGAGAATCAACTGCTCTGATACCAAATTGATAAGAACCTGATTTGAAGAGGCTGAATTGCTTACTGAAAGAATGAAAACTGTATATCAAACTGCTATTTTATTGCATCAAACGTGAAAATGGACACAGAACAGTTCCAAGGATTTCAAGAGGCCTGGTCTCTCCCCAACTTTTCCTGAATGCCTATCCCACCCCCACCCCCACCCCTCGGTTACATTTATAGAGAATTTACTAGTTTCCTATTACAATTTTACCCTTTGCTAACTAACTATGGAATACTCCAGAATAGTGAATGAATAACAAACATCTATTGGAATATTATTAGAGGTGGGGGTCTATCATGTTCCTTCCAATCCAAGCCCAAAAAGGCAACAAATCCATAGTTTTGCAAACACGGTAATAATTAATATCCCTCGCCATGTAATTAATTAAACACAAAGGAGTAGTACCACCGATGTGAAAAGAGATGTCCTAATAAAATAGAAAGACAACAATAGCATATTAGAACAAAATCTAGTTCAACATCAAACATTTGTCACTGCCAACAACTTGGCCTTCGCGAAACCATGGATCTAAAATTCATCAATGAGATATCTAACTGAATGCATAGTTTCCTTTTAACCAAAACACTTTAAAAAAAGGCTAAATATCATCCAAAAACCGAATTGCATTACATAATTTCAATCAAACTTAACCTAAAACCAAATTAAACAGAAGAAAATTCAAAAGTTCTCAACAATAATACTCAATTATCCGTTAAACTAAATCAACACATAGGTGTGCCAAATACACGATCCAGTCAATTAAGGAAAAATTAAAATTACCAAACACAGCAATTACACATCCCAGTAAAACCAAGTTCGTCGTTAAACATCTAATAACTTATCTGAGATCCGAAAAAGTCCAGTTCAGATTAGTTAATCCTGGGCCTTCAACTTCTCGATCCGCTTATTCAACTGATCAATCTTCACAACAAGGCCCGTAACGGAATAAAGCAGCCAGTAGAAAACAAGAGCAGAGGCGATCAAGAGCGCGTTACGCTGGGATTTCATAATAGATTTCTGATGCCGGAGGTGTTCGGAAGGAGAACAGGATTCGGATTCACAACTGGGTCGAGTTTCATATTTCCAGTATATATCCATCAACAGAAACAGGCAAAAGGGGACAATGGACAGGAAAGGCTTGAGCAAGCTACGGGTCACGCTGATTAGGCCCTTGCGGAGCGGGTCAAGACCCGGGAGAGTTAGGAGGAGGAGCATTATGGCCTCTGCTCCGGCGGCGTAGCCTAGCACCACCCACTCCAACGCCATTGATGAATTGATCCAAATTTTGATCCGAGGAAGAAAAGAGAAAAAGGAAAAAGATATGTGAATGAGAAATTGTGAAGTAGAGTGGGCTAAGAAAAGTATCTTACCGGGCATGTATCTACCTTTTTGCTTGGGAGGCGGGCTTCTTTGTAATGTATTTAATTTTCGGGTGGTAAACATGAAAAATAAATAAATTTTAGTTAATTCAATTGTCTATAACTTATTTGCATGAAAATTGTCAATTAAATATGTTTAATTGATTTAATTTTCAATTTAAAAAATATTATACTTGTCCGACTTTCATTGGTGAATAGATTCTATGAAAAATAAAATCATACTTTCTTTAAAGAAAATATTTTTTTTATTTTGAAAAAAATATGATCACGTGATCAAAAGTGAAAAAATATTTTTCATAAAAAAAAATTGTCTAGCACACAGAACAAAAGTAAAAATTTGGATAAAAAAAAAATTTTCATGAAAAATATTGATAATTAAACGCATCCATGTTGTTCTATTTTTAGGTTTGCACGTTTTCTTTTCTTCTAAAAACTGAAAAATGTCTCTTTTTATAATTTCTTGGTTTTTTTGCTACATTTAAGTAATAATTTTCGAAAAATACACCTTTTACAATTTGCAAATATTTCACAAACATAATCGATCAATAATGATAATCCTCCAAATCCAAGCTCAGCTTTTCAGCTGCAATTTGCCCATCCCGCTACTCAGCCAAGCTAAAAAAAAAAGGCTTGCAAACAGGGATTTAAAATTTGCTGAGGTAGCATTCAATGCACAAAAAATAAAAAATAAAAAATAAATAAATAAAATCTAAACAAAAGTGTGCAAAACCGCAAAACCGAGACAGCAAAAGGAAAGAGCATTTGTTCCCAAACCCTCCCTCCTGCCACCGCGCCGTCGTCGACCGGAGCACCCATCGCCGACCAGAGAACTGGTAGTCACCATCCAAGAAGAAAGATAAATAGGGAAAAAAAGAAAAGAAAAAAGGAACTCAAATAAATGTATATTCAAATTGATTTGTGAATGAACATCATAATCTATACATTGATTTGTGATAAACATATGGAAAGTGCATTTATGGGACAAATAAATCTATATTCATATTAATTACTGTAAGTGATATTATCTGGATTCAAGACTAATGCTGCAAGTGGCGACCAATGTATCATCATTTTAGTTGAAAGTTACATATGCGTGCAATTAACAAAAATCTGTCCCCATTTCATCTCTCAAAAATTCGAACCAACAGCTGCTTCTTCATCTCTCAAAAATTCGAACCAGCAGCAGCTTCTTGCAATTAACAAAAATCTGTCCCGATTGCAATGAAATAAAGCAGCAGCTTCTTGCTATAACATCATAACCATAGTAATTAAAGTCGATTTCATTTGCATGCTAACGAATACCATGAAATATGATCTTATACAACTCCCTCACAAACACACAACGAAAGCTGGCAAACACAAAATACAAATTCCAGAGGAAAATATAGTACAATAGATTCAAGGAGCAGGTATGATCAGAGATAGAGCGACTATCGGTACACTGGTAGGCGAAGGGTGCTCCGATCGGCGATGAGCGCTCCGGTCGGTGAAGGCAGGGCGACGGGAGGGAGGGAGGGTTTGGAACAAAAGCCTTTTGCTTTCCTGGTTTTGTCCCTTCTGTTTTTGTTTTTTTTTTTTTTGTGCAACAACTGCCACATCAGCAAAATTCAAATCCCTGTTTTTATATCTATTTTTATTCCTGGCTGACCAGCATTTTTCCAATTTGCCACCCACAACCACCACTGTGATCTCACGCTGTCCCCTACCATCTCCTTTTTAACACGCTATTGTGATCTCATTGTGGTATCACCACCACCCACTACCACCTCTTTTAAATACCAGCACAACTATCACTGCCACCGATCGAAGAATCCATTTTTTGATTTGAAATGATTCATGGTTTTGCAGTCATGTTGGCAGATGTTGAAGAAGAGGTGGCGAGGACTCTTTGGTGAGAAGATGGAGGTGAGGAGCAGTTCCAGATAGTGGTAGTAATGAAAATGATGTTGGTTCTATATGTGGTGGGTGGTGGCAATTTAGATCTGAAGATCACGATGATGGTGGGTGGTGATCCTAACTTTTTGCGATGAGCTAGAGTGGATTTTTGAGGTGGTTCAATGGTAGAGTGATTGGTAACATAATAGTTTCACAATAGGTATGTTGATGGCTATTGCAAGAGTGATTATGATCATGGTAAGCCGTAAGTGGTGGTAATGGTGGTCATTAGCTAGCAAGTGTGGTGGCATTGGGTCAAGAAAGAAGGGGGATGATTGATATCGGGGAAACTCTACTCGATTGGTGGTGACATAGTAACAATCATTATCATGTGAAAAAATAAGTAGCAAAAATAATATAGTAACACATGTTACACCTATAAAATATGGATTTTTCAATAAAAGGCAACGTATGGTACAAAATATTTTACCATGTTATCCTTGTAAATTGTTGATTTTTAATAAATGTTACCTCATAAATGTTGAGAAATTTTTATATTCTTGTAAAATACATTTGAAAATGTAAAACTGACATTTCGAGGTACCTTTTGCAATTTATCTTTTTAAGTAACAGTGCATTTTTTCGACAAAATCTAGTGCAAGTAAAAATCTAAAAATTGAAAGTTAGGCATTTTCAGTTTTTTGTTTGATAGTAGGATGGTTGGAAAAATACAAAATTTTTACTATTAATTTCTTTAGTATCAACGAGCCGGACCTCCCTGGCCATTTGATAGGACTGGTCCTTAGGCCCTATAATTTTATTTTATTTCATTTTTTTTAAAGAAAAAATATCGAAAAAAATAATGACGGTGAATCGTATATTTTAGACAAAAGTTTATTTGACAACTGGGATGAAGTTTAATTTAAGCAAAGATATTAAATCATTTCAAGAGTCACAAGATTAAAGTGGGCAAAATTTTTGGGATGCAACGGAGGACTTGTGCTCAACATTATGAGGGGTGTTCGAAAAAATCAACGACCAAGACAACATGTCTTCTTGAGTAAACCAACGCCGAGGGGTCCAATGGAAAGGACAAAGTTAGAAATCGAATTCATGACAAGTTGGATTGCATGGGTCTCAGTGCGTGCACAAGATAAACAAACCCATTATCAGAGTCAAGTTGTTGGAGTATCTTGATAACACGAGCATGTATAACAGCTTACGAGTTCAACCTTAGTGCACAACCTTTTTATCCATTTCCTATTGGATTTGTCCTACTACCGAGAGACACTATGAAGATTAGGCAATATGAACATTCCTCATGGTCATGGAATAATCTATTTTGGCAATCTAGTTCGAGAAGTGATTTGAGTCAAAACATGCAACAATATATATAGTAAAAGTGTAGTGTAGCTACATTATCAAGACAATCTTAAGCACCTTTTAAGCTTAGTCAAACATGCTTCGAGACGTGGAATGATACAATCTCTACTCTTAAGTTGCACAGATTTACCTTAGCTCCATTAAGACAATCGAAGTGCAATTCTGGCAAAGAATCAAGTCTAACAAAAAATGATGTTTTAAAACCCCACAATGACACTAAAATTTCATTGCCAGAAGGGTCAATAATGACTAGCCAAAACACTGCTCAAGAATGCCAATGGAGCTATTCAAGAACTACAGTGTAAAACTAATCTATGACCAATGATACAATTCTTTGGAATGACATAAAAACTAAGCTATTTAACATAGAGAGGAGAATTTGAAAGGTATAGAAGAACACAAACAAATAAAACACATCAATTAACATTGATTAAGAACTAGGTTTTACAAGCATTGCAACTAGAAGTAGATTTCTGTACAAGACTCACAATTCAGAGAAAATGTAACAAGTGTTCGATATATACCTAATTCCGGTTCTCATTTTATTCGAGTTGAAGTGGCTGTCACCTGGCCTTTCCATCACCTGATGGCATTCTGTTAAGACAACCTTAATAAGTTCGCTACAAATTACTGTTTGTCCCCTGGCTTGGTGAACAGCACTCGTTTTCACCCTCAGTACCTTGTGATGAGAGGTGCTTCACGAATGTTTCCAAGGCTTCCTTCATCCACCAATACTGGCAAACTTTCCTAGCTTCTCTAACACTAACCTGTTAGAATTAAGTTTACATCAGCAATTCTATGAATTTCCGCAAGTTTTGGAAGTGTATAAATGAAAAATTTGTGGATCACATTACCCATATTCTTTGCCGGACGTCTTTCTCTGGCCAAAAATCTAGTTGCTCTTTGACAAGTAAAGGGAACATGAATGCCTCATAACATGTGTCGCCATTTTTTCCCTTGAAAGTCCATTTACCCAACTGACACTGCGAAAAAAACTCGAGCCACCGGTTAAATAAACATGTATTCCACCTCAAATATATCAACAGTGCAGAAAAACTAACGTTCCTGGTGCAATAATGTAAACTCAATATGAGATTTTCAAACTTTTTATTCTATAAACTTCCCCGGAAATGAAAATTCATTATGAGAAGAACTAACCTCGACTTCACCTACTACCCCAGCTTCCTCCACCGTTTCACGCAATGCTGCTTCTTTAACGGATTCATCTTCCTCCCAACCTCCCTGAATAACAAGATTCTTCATATCAGCGCTTAAAACATAATTCGTAAAATGGTCGAGTATTTGAAATGAATTTTAATGACAAAATTGCAAAATCGTCAATACCTTTGGAAACAACATCCCTTTCCCTTTTCTCTGTGAAGTGATAACCAAAACTTCAATTGCGTCCTCATCCACTATAGATGTCCCATTTGTACCTTTATATCTGTATGGAATACATCTGCAGAATCATAACTAAAAATCATCAAAGACATGGCAAAGAGAGTGAATCCATACTAATTAAGAGTGATCTGTTTTTAAATTTGTATTCGAAATGCAGCCAAATTATCGTTACCACGGTAAAGAGTCACTAGGCTATCTGTCTTATTGAGTTAACAAATGACAATAATCTATCATATTAGTTAAAATGAGGAGCAGAGTGAGTACTGCTAATCAGAATCATAACTAAAAATCATCAAAGACATGGCAAAGAGAGTGAATCCATACTAATTAAGAGTGATCTGTTTTTAAATTTGTATTCGAAATGCAGCCAAATTATCGTTACCACGGTAAAGAGTCACTAGGCTATCTGTCTTATTGAGTTAACAAATGACAATAATCTATCATATTAGTTAAAATGAGGAGCAGAGTGAGTACTTCTAATCGATTTTAAAAGCCAATCTTGTACAATATCGAGAGGTAAAACGGGCAAGAAATGATAACCACCCCTTTCCAATACAACAGAAAACTCAAAATCGAACCAACGTCTCACTCAAAACCTTCATTTTGACTACTTATGGCTTAAGTATAGAACAAATTACAAAACATAATCTTCATAAGTGTTGCATATTTTCAAAAATATACTTCAAATCAAAAGGTGCATCTTTCTTTTGGTGATTTGACATCTTAGCATTTTACAATTCACAAAGACAAAAGTCCAATCAGAAATCAATCTTGCATAGCAATGAAGTCAACTCTTGATCATATAAACCATACATCAAACCAAGAAACACATACATATAGTCATAGAATTAAAAAACATGAAATAATCAAATGGTTTGAAAGTGCTTGTGTATATATTTCTGAGAGAAAATGAAAGCGAGAGAGACCCCACTACTTGGCGATGGCCGTGATTGTATCGCTGCATATCCCTTCCCGTGCGAGAAACTAGACTAACCATCCTCTTTAGCTTGTGCTGCTACAGAATCAATAAACTTAAGATGAATATAAAGGAAATGCAAAGGAAAATGCCAATGAATGCACTGGAAGTTGTTTAGCATACAAATGCAAAGACTTTGTCTCTGTATTTATGTTTCACTGCAAAAACCGTTGGTGGAATTAAAAATATTTTATAAATGTTACTATCCCACACGCGCTTTCAACCGAATCCAAAAGAGCATAAAGGTTACTCATCTTCAATTTGGTGTAATTAGGACGTCCAACTTTCATTTTCTTGTAAATCTAGTCACATTGTCCACGACTATCAACTATTTCTTTTTAAACCATATGTAGTGGCGTATCTTATCAATAACGAAATAATGAAGTACAAGTTAGGAGGGAAGAATTTACCTCGATCCACAAACTTGTACCATCCAGTGACAACTAGACATTGAACACAAGGAATAACAAAATAAAAGGAATTAAAACTCATATGATTTCATTCTGGACTTAGTCACTATACATTATAAAAAGAATCCACCCTCTTCATCCTTAGGTTCAAAGTTTTCGTTGGTCGATGCAAACTGTCACGGTCTATTATCCATACTCTATTTATTTTTTAGCAAGGCAACTTGAATAGTTCGCTCTTCAGCTGTAAGGTTAGAGAATGACAATCGCTCGTTTTTAAAATCAATGTTCTTAAAATCAAAGAGTCAGACGGAAAGGGGGGAAGCTCTCAATTCATGATCTCTCTTCGACATGTTATATTAGTTAAATGCAGTGAACAAAAATGTTTAGGTTTGCAAATAAATTGAGGATAGTTGATCTAATTATACCAAACTAACAACGAGTGGTCAGATTTGCAACTGGACGAAGACGAGTTACCCAGAAGCAATTAAAGTTAAAAGTTGGATGACTCTCATTGCAATTAACCCAAAAGGAAATGTGGAAAAGGAAGCAACCGAGAAAGATTACGTGTCTCTGACGCGTCAAATTTGGACTGAAATTTGCGGCTTTTTCTTTCTTCTCACAAATAGCGGTAATAGTCATCTTCCCACCGCCCCTTCTCCGCCTTAGCCTGTGACTCAGCACCACAGCGCCGCAACCAAAGCACCGTCGTAATGCTGTACAAACATCACCAATTTGTATATAAACAAGAACACTCTAATCACAGGGATTTTTATTGAACCGCAGAGAAGCAATCGTATCACCTACTGTGCTATTACAGTATTACTCCCTCTCAATGTTTGGGTAAGCTTTACAAGTTTGCTTGTAAGTATATTTAATTAATGAAAATTAAAATATATATAAGTTGCTTATTTTATTAATAAGAAAGATAATGTTTATTATTACAAGTAAAAAAGTAAGTCACAGACGGTATCTGGTTCGGTTTGGATTTTTTCAGAACCAAACCCGTCTTATAAAGTTGATAGTTTCATTTTCGCGATTTCTATTAAAGATGACAAATTATTTATTGTATAAATTATAAATTAATTATTATATTATATAAAATAAGGAAATCAGACCAAATTTCAAATCTTGTAATCAGAACCATTAGGTTCTCGACTCTAAACCTAGAATATGATCAATTTTTATAACCAAGAGATTAGTCTAATTTTAATTCATTTTCATTGCGCAACGATTATTGAAAGTAGTGAAAGTAAAATATTAAATTTTTATTTCATTTTCGTATAAAAATGATAGGAGTCTGGACACTAAGACACCGTTTGGTATCCATTTTTGTAAAAATAAGAATGAAAAATATAGTCGTTACGGAACCCACACAAGTAATAGAAAGTCAAATATGATGGTTTGGTGTGATGGATAACGGTTATATTTTTTTATTTTTATGGCTAAAGAATGGAAACCAAACAGAAGCTATATAAAGAGGGAGAAAAATGAGAATACTAAATTATTGATTTAACTGAGTTCGAATGTGTAAATCAATTAAAATATCTTGCTTCTTATCACTTAACAATTGGATTTGAGGACGGTCGATCAATTTTATTTAAAAATCGAAAAAGAAAGAGATGATTAAGAGGTATTAATCACATTTTCGTAAACCTAAAGAGAAGTTTTACATGCAATTAATACCAAATGAAGATTGATTAAAAAAATATAAAATGAAGAAATTTCGTTTAAAATTTTCACAATCGAGAGCATAGTACATAGTACATGACCAACATTTCGATATCATTGTTTTTAGAAATCTCTTCGGGAACTGGGATCCACCCACGAGGGTGAGTCTTATTTTCCATCTTAGAACTTTGAGTTGAATTTCACTTGGGTCATGATTAAATTTTAATTTATCTAAAAACATTTTACTAATCGATTTGTTTCGAATTTATCGCTTTGTCACATTTCATCACTTATCGTCCTTCAAATAAATGGAAATTATTTACTTGATAGCCATATTGTAATCATCCTTAAAATGATAATGATAATAAAAGAACCGTGAGAATGTCTTTAGATTAAAAAAGTTAAAATACGTGCACTTTTGTTATGTGACATAGGTATAAGTAGACATACCACGTAACAAGAAATGACTGATGATGAATTTCTAAAATTTGAAATTAAACTGTAAGCCAACGATCCAATTTAAAATTAAGTTGAAGTTTAGTAGTCCAATTGAGATTCACTGAAAGTTCAGTAGACACAAATGAAAACTATCCGATCCATTAATTACGTAGTTCGACGATACCAAAGCCTAAATAATTAACATACATTTGATTTGGACCACACCATTGACGTTAATTGCAAGTATGTATAAACAAAACCTTAAAAGTTTCAACTGAAATTTACATGCAATTTCCCCAAAGAAATGTCTAGTATGAAACCGCATACAAATCCCGCCCACAATTCAAGAAACTTTTTGAGTCTTCTCTTTGGATAAGTGCATTTTGTTCATTTTTTCCTTCTTCTTTGGAGCAAGAAGTTGCGTGTTCATATGTGAGACGATAAAATTTTAACACTAATATGTTATATAGTATAATAGAACATGCTCTTTTGGGTGGTCTCGAGAAAGAAAATTGTTGACTTTAAATACGGACAATCACGTCATATATGAGATCGATGAAAGGGATAAAAATGTGATATAGTATTGTTTAAGAACCACGGAAATCTTTGATGCTTTAAGATCTTAGTTAGAGATTGAAACTTCTAGGAAAGTGTTAAAATCAAGTTGGACTTTGCTGGACAGATAGGGCCCCGTCCAAACATCTTTACCCAACCGGGTTTCAATCATTAGAATTTGAAATAAAGTGAAGGGCTTGTTATTCAATAAATGTCACTATCAACTAAAGCGTGTGACCAATTCAAAGGTAACCAAACAAAACTCTATACAACCCTCTCGAAGGAATCATTCAAATTTTTGTTAGGTTTGGTACAAATTAAAATTAACAACTAATTTTAATCATACATTTTATGAGACTCACAACTTTTTAGCCACACATTTCAACAACTTTTATCAAAATTTACTAAAAATATAATTTTTTAATCCTCATCAAACAGGAACGTTTATATGTTTTTTACTTCCTATACGACAATCTGGTACACCGTACACTTATTGAGCTACATCTTTTACATATCTTGATAGAATTGTTCTTGTAAATTGTCTTGATATTCCTACAAATATTTCGAACATGTACCAAACGTGTCCCTTTCCTACAAAGATTTCAACCTCCAAATGTACCAAAACATGCCACGATAGGTTTTCTGATCTCACCATCATAGATGGTTCAAGAAGAAAACAAGCCAATCTCAATATAACAACACTATCAACAAAACATTCGGGTTTTCAACCAATGGAATTTGTAAGCGTGAGTAAAGGGCACGTTGTTAAACATCGCTATTAACCAAAGTCATGACCAACCTAAAAGTAATGGACATACAATGCTCTTGACATAATCAACTAACTTTGATATCCATTCGATAACTTCCCTCTCTATACGGCAATCAAGTATACGTATTAAGTTACCTCTCTTAAAGCATCTTCAATGATGGTGTAAAATAGAGATAAAGATCTCCAAATCGGTTGAAAAATCTCTCCAATGGAGAGATGCAAATTGCATATTTTGGTAGAAAATGTAAGAAACAAAAAGAAGCAACTTCCACAATAAGCAAAACGTGCATTTAAATTTCCTTATTGGAGCATAATTTTGATTTAGATTCACTGAAATGTAATTAAAGATGCAAAAGCGATTTTAAATATACCAATTTACAACCAATTTTATGCCACCATTGAAGGCGCTCTTTCATATTTTCATGGACTCATGCATCCAAATTGACTTGAAGTTACTATTAAGATTCAATATTGACACACGTAACAAACACGTCACAACAATTTCTTAACCCTAAGTATCTCACATGATTTGATAGCCCTCGTGAGATCTTAACCATTTGTAAATAGCCAGTTTTGGTGATAGAAGCAATCTTGAAAATAAGCTGTGGCTCATTCATGGTCGGTTATTAAGTTAATTTATTAATATCACTTTTTTAATTATTTAGCAATTATAATTTTATTTTTTATCATGTAAATTCATTATTTTTTTAAAAATAATTGTCTGTTGTAGCAGCAGCACGTAATTATTTGGTCCCTTCTATGGAATTTGCTTCGCAAGGGGCAAATGGGTGCATTAAATATCCTTTAAGGCTTGTCTCGAAGCATGCAATTATTTGTCTTGCTATCGGATTTGCTTAGCAAGTGGTCACGGGTTAGTTAAATTAAATCAATATTATAAAGCGAAATTTGTATTTGTGACTTGAAATAATGAAAAATTCTTCAGGTACAGAATTTTTTTACCAGAAAAATGACAGATTTTTGAATTCCTACACACATGGGAGTGGGCCCCATGTATAAAATATTGTAAAAAAATTTTTTTTTTCCACCCTTCCTGTGTGTATTCGGTAGGTACAGGGATTACCTATAGCAGCTCTCTTAAATAATGGGAAGTCTATGGGGTAGTTAAGAAAGTGGTTCCTAACCTTCAAATTTCGATATAAGCATCCTAAACTTTTCACTTGATGTGCAAAATTTGTCCGTTTGGATGATTTTCATCCAATTAATGGTTAAAAATATCAAAATTTTGATAAAAATAAAAAAAGTGGATCGAACAAATAAAAAAAAATCAACAAAATGAAAAGGCAATCATCTGACTAA